TGTAAGATACTATAAAACTAACTTAATTTTAGAAATCAAAAGGAAAAACTTTTTGCACTTTTTAATTTTACTATCACATGCAAATAATTACTTCTCTTTTCACTCCCCAGCAGAAGTACAAGAGAGTGGCCCAATCTTTTCCATGCACAGTAATTTGGAAAAGAACTAAACTGGGGGAAGTCTACTTTTGCTAACAACAACAAAAAATAATAATAAAAAATAAAAATCAACAATTCTCAAAACAAGTCACAGTTCATAAAACTGAAAGTTACATCCGATTTGCACCTTCTGCTATCTAATATCAGCAGAGCAGGAAAATTTGTCTCTACATCATGTGGTAAACTACCAAGAAGGAACCACGGAGAGCTGTTGTCACTTCAAGTGCGCGCACACACACACACACACTGTGAACATCGCTGTTCAACCAGGGCCAGTTTCACCTCTGCTGACAGAAGGACACAACTCCCAACGAGAGAAATCAATGAGCTGTGCCAGCAGTCAGTCTGGCTCCCAAACCATCGCTCTTGTCCCCATGTCCCCAAGTTTGTCACAACAGGAAAACCTTGGTGGGTAGAGACACAACAGCTTGCCCCGGTCCACGACGGGGATGAGAACGTAGCAGCGAGCCCGCTCTAAGTTATACGTTTGCCATGCAATACGAGTACTGCCGGAGAACTTGCACACAAAATTATGCTTTTCACAGCCTTTATAGTTACTTGGTTATTTCCCCACCCTCCTCCCCCACCCCTAAAAAAGAATAGAAAGGGAAAAAAATACCAAAAAAAACCACCCCCAAACAAACCCCACAGTTATAAACGGCAGTGGGGGAAGGGGGAGAAGGGAAATGCTAATGTTAAATCTTTGCACGAAGGTATTAAATAAATAATTACGAGTGCCCTAATCTGATAAAAAATTTGAATATGCTGGAAAAAGCCAACAGGTTTACAGACTTATTTGCATACACTGTACAAGAGCCATAATCTGCTGCTGGAAAACACACCCAGGACATACAAAGCATCCTTTCCACCATCAACTTTTCCCCATCCCCTTACAAGAAAGATTGAACTGCAGTTATTTTTCCTTTCTTTCTTTTTTTTTTTTTCTCTCTCCACATCTAATAAATGAAGAAGTTACATTTCACACCTGTTAAAAATTCAGATACTTCCAGCACTACAAGGTTATTCTATGCACTGCACTGAAAGCAGATGCTTGTGTGAATCAAAATTAGTGCCAGAGATCAACATCTGCACAAGCCTCTTCCCAAATAACTCTTCCTCCAAACAGCTTCTGGCAGCTACTGGCATCCCAACACTGAACTCTGCAAGGACAGTGCACATCTATCCTAAATAGCTGTGACTATCATACAGGTTTGGTTTTTTTCCAGTTTGACTGCAGTAAATTTTTTTTTTTAATTTTTTTTTTTTTTACAGTTTTTAAAATGATTAAAAATTAACTTTGAATTCCTTACATTTCAGAACTTTAACATTTTTTAAATATTTCAACTTCTCTCTCATTCCAACAAATATATCGAAACAAATGGAGAAGGGTTCTGTAAGCATCCCTAAATTGTAAATGTGATCAATGATTTATTTTTTTTTACTAAATTAAAAAAAAAAAACTCCCAAACCCAGTACAGGTAGTTTAAAAGTGAATAATGATTTTGTTGGTTTTGTTTTTTTAATATATATATGTAAATATATATATATATATATAACACATGCGTAGAAATGAACAGTTAACTGCATAAATACATTATATTGTGTTATGAATCAAATCAAAGCAATTGCCAAGCTGAATAATAAGTTAGAGAACTGACAACTCTGGCTTTATATATATATTTATAAAAATAGATATGAGTGTTCTCAAAGCAGTTGATAGAGAATGCCTACTGAGGAAGAAGTTGCCACGGGTTATCTGGCTAAGAAATCAGAAGATGAAAATTTTCACAGTTATTTTAACTGCCACTTACATTCATTCTAATGGCAACACTAGCATATATTACTAAGATGTTTACGGTATATATCACAATTGAGTTTTCCAGTGTTCACAACTTACGACTTTAAATTTGTACACTTGCTATTCACTAAAAAAAAAAAAAAATTAAAAAAGGAAAAAAAAAAAAGGAAAAAAAAAAGAAAAAGAAAAAAAGGTGTGATTCTTACTGCTGGAAGCTACTTTTCCCTAACACTTTACACAGAACTTTGAACCCTGGCATGCTGATTTTGGCAGATTAATGCACTGAACTTTCCTATTTCAGTCATTATGGTAATCACCTTCAAACTTAACCACTTCCTACACAATAGTGTTGCAAATTTAGTCAGCGTACACCTAGGTGAGACGCTACCTTTCAAGTAGCTTCTCTAAACACAAGGGGTTTTGCTTAACTCTTCACCTTTAGTTCCACTTAAAACAGTTAAAAACAGTCAGTTGCTACTACATCAGCTGTAAACAACGAGTTCCCAGTAGATACAAACCCTGATTTCTAGTATACAGCATCCACTAGCCTACCCCAGAACACAAAGACAGGTCAGTGTACAGAGAACCCAGTCACCTCTCTGATTTGGGAGCCATTCTGAGAGACATCAGTTGAACCCTAGTGGGGCACATAGAACCCTGTGCCCAGAGTTCCCACCTGCCAGGCTGAATTCCCCATCTGCAGCTGGAATTCCAGACTCTCTACTTGTGAATTGATCACCATGTACTGTGTAGCCACCCATCAATCCTATACTGGGCCTGCCTCAGGAAAACATACCAAGAGAAATGCACAAAAGTCAGTAATAAAGAGATTAGAGAATGTAACAAGCAGGGGGAAAAAAAAAAAAGCAAACCTAAGAAGTTGCCCTCAAAAGGAGGTGAGGAAAAAGGGCAAATTAAAAATTCTGACGTGCTCCCTTCTACCTCCTTCCAATTGCGTCTCTAGAAGACAATTTTTGCTGTCCATGTCCTTTGATCTACAATCCAGTATCCTGTAAAAGCTATAGTTTAAAAAGCTTGCTGAATGAATTATTAAGAAGGTCAAGAGACTATACTCCAAGCTGGAAACACAAAAGTTTACTACAGTAGTACATTCAGGTTTTATCATCAGTGACTAAGTCATGACAACAGTATCTGGCTGCACTCATTCCACTCACACGCTGACCAAGCACCTCAGCTGCAGATGTGCTCTGCAATGCAAGGTCATCAACGGCAGACACATCATCCGACAAGCCAAATGTTAAATAGGTTAAAAAAAGTTCTAATTTTACAGAAATGCTCTTTTTTTTTTTTTTTTTTCAAAAAAATAATATTCTCTTATCCTTTTCCTCCTACACTGAGGGACAGGTTAATTTGTCAATTCATATTCTTTCACTTTGTCAAAATGCTAGTTTCACAACCCCAAAACTGATTTCAAGCAGGAAACCCTCTGCAAATTAAAAACAAAAATACAAAAATTATAATCTCTATATTTATATTGATTGGAATCCTCCAGCATTTGTGAAATCACTTTGAGAGATGAATTTTGGGACCCTCCACAACTTCTCCGCACAAGCCACGCTCCAGTTCAGTATTCCCCTTCATGAATACTTCTTTCTCACAGTCTCCTTTGCTGCTTATTAGTCCACAGCTCAAATTAAATAGAGAATAATTGGCTGGACAAGTGTTACTTTGGTGACCGGGGTGGCACGTACTGCTCCTTGCCGATACGTCGAGGTGCTCCCTGAGGCGATGATCTGCGTCCAAATTGGCGCCTCTGTTCCCTGATTTTCCCAGCAGCTCCCCTGGGAGGCCCGTTGCCTCGGAACCCAGAATAATCCTTCATTCGACCTTCAACCTTGTCATGAGCCTTCTCAGAAGCCTTCTCAGGTGTGCCATTTTCTTCATTTTTGGCAGGGGGAACTATGTTGGTGCGATGTTCCCTAAGAGGCTGAACAGGAACTGGAGGAGGCTCCTTTGGGGGCTTCTGGCAAACTTCAGCATAACTTAGCTTGCGTGGCTCCTTTGGGACCAAGGGAGAAGAGCAAGGTTTACACACCAGAATAACCATGCTACACTCTTCCAGACCATCCCAGGCACAACGCCAAGAGCAAGAACACGTACAGCGAGCGATTACACTGCAGCTGTGGCAAACTGCACGAGAGAAGGTCCCAGGTGCTACATCAGCACATTCAGGAAAGAGCTCCCCGTGCTCTCCACCCCCTCCCCGCTCTGGGCCTTACCTGCATCAGCAAAGCAGGAGCTGCACTTGCACTAGTAGAAGGTGAAGTGGGATTTGTCCTTGGTGGCTTTGCAGCACTGACAGGAGACACAGACACCGGTGGGGAAGAGTGGCTCGTAACATCTTTCTGAACAGACACTTCCTCCGGTTTGCTGTCTGGCTGAACTGTGCTGTTAAATCAAGAACAATTTAACATTAGAACCCACTCACGCAGAAATTAATGCTTCAGAAAGTGGTTTTTGGGGTTTTTTTTTCTTTGAAGCCACAACTGCATTTTTTGCAGAACAGCACGGTACAGCCATTACCACCACTTGTGATTTCTATCTAGAGACCTCTAGAGAAGTTGCCCACCTCTAGAGAAGTTGCCCACCTCTAGAGAAGTTGCCCACCTCTAGAGAAGTTGCCCACCTCTAGAGAAGAATCAACAAACATTACTGCCACCTTGCCAGACACCAGCTAATCTTTGCTAGAACACACAAATTTTAACATTCTCAAGAAATCTGCATACCTTAGCACCACAGCTTCAGTCTGACTTGGTGAACTCACACTCGTCACAGGCTGTTGGACAGTGCTGGGTGTCTCTTCTTCCTGAGCAGGAGCTGGGCAGCTGGGCAGCAAATCTTTGCTTTCCTGTACAGAAAGCTTAAGTTGAAAAATATGGAAAGATCACAGATGCTCTTAAATTGCATCCTAGCAAAAAGCAGGACAGGGATATTTCCAAAAGCTGCTCAAGTCCCGATTATAGGAATCCTGCTTCTTTTGGAGAATTCTAAAGCACCTTTAAAGCCATCACCCTTTATACAGGCAACACAAATAGTGGATAAAACGAGCAGTATGGTTGTATCGCCCAGATTATCAATGCCCAGTCCCACCAGCTCAAATAACAGATTAATCTGAAAACAGCCCTTGCCTACACTACACACAAACTGTTCCTCCTTCAACAGCCAGCACTCCTCATTCGCCTGCTTTATCCCAAAACAGCACTGAGCTTACAACAGTGTAAATACAGAAGCTTCAGGTAAATACTTGCAAAAAAACGAAGAAATCCAAGAACAGAAAGACAGAAAATGCACTATTACATTAACAAACACAGTATGATGTTTGGGTTTAAAGTATCCGAGTGTGCAGCTCCAACATAAACTGGTTCTTTAAGCAGGGAGAAGGGAGGCACAGCACACACATACCCCTGGTTCCTGTTCCAGGCCAGAACCAAGAGCAGTTACCTTTTCTTTGCAGACTCCTTTAACAATATCAGACATCCTGCTCTCCAGCACAGGCTCTCCCGGTATTTTTGCTGTGCTGCCAGGCAAAGGTGGGAAATTTGATGCTAGTAAGTCAAACTTTGGTGTCTGAGTCTTTGTTTCTGCCAAAGGCTGAGGTCTCTAGAGAAGGAAAACACCCATTAATAGAGGTGTAACACCCAGCATTAAAGTCACTCAGCAACTGTCAGGGAATTTCTTAGAAACACTGAATATCCACACTGTAATCTGAAAATTTGAGGGCTATGCCATTCCCTTAGTAAACACAAAGCCAACACACTGCACTCTGTGCAACTCCTCACAATAAAGAAAGTGGAACTTACTGAAACCCGGTCATCTTCTCGTCTCCTCCGACCTCTGAAAACGTTCCTCCTTTAAAGGCAAAAAAAAAAACCAGTCAGTAAGTGCATTCATCTAGCTGAAGTGCACACTCATCTGCACAAAGGGGAGCCTGTGGCAGGGGATTTACAGCAGCCTACTGATGCTGCTCAGATACAGTTCTGGGATGTTCTCCATCTTCAGGAGGGGTCAAAGCTCTTACACTCTTGGAAGATAGCCAACATGGGAAACAATTTCTCTTTTCTCTCCTTGTGAAGGAGGTACCCTAGAGCAGGGTATCTGAACAGGCACAGTGACAATTAGACTATAAGATTATAGAATAGTATACTAAAATTTTATAGTAATAAACTTATTCATCTGATTTCTCGTATATCTGTCTCAGTCACTTAATTTTTAAGTGTCTAAACCCTGAATTAACAGGCAAAAGATAAAACCAGTTGATACTACAATGTTTAGGAGCACAAATTCCCCAGCCGAGGATTTGCTTATTATTTACAGCGATACAAATGCCAACTTTACTTCAGCAACTGTTTTAATTCTGGGGACAAATCAGGCAGTTATTCTGAAATAAAGACACCTCATTATCTTACTGCAAGGTGTTGTTAGAATAACTAATAGGTGTAGAGTCAAGCAGGAAGCATTCAAGCTCCCAGTTAAGTAGTTATCACACCTGGCCTATTTAAATTGAATCACAGAATCACAGAATGGTTTGGGTTGGGAGGGACCTTAAAGCTCATCCAGTCCCAAACCCCCTGCCAGCAGCAGGGACACCTTCCACTAGACCAGGTTGCTCAAAGCCTCATCCAGCCTGGCCTTCAACACTTCCAGGGAGGAGCAGCCACAAGGAGGAATGTCACTTTTCTCCTGGTCAGTCTTTACAGAAATATTTATCATGCCACTGGTTGATGATCCTTGGCTCACACAAGTCATTTGAGCCTCCAACACCATGTCCCAACCACCACAGTACACACAGCTCTTTACCTGCCCCTGCCAATGCCGTAATCGCCATTCTGCTCCATCTGTGCAGTAGGAGAATCCTTCTGGGAATAACCTGGGTCTTGGTGCCCAGTTAATGTGCTGTTATGTCGCTCCATAACAAAATTCCTGGAGTTGGTTCTGTTCAGTGGTCCATCCCCCACTGGCATGGGACTGACGGCAGCTGGACCCTCCGCAGCGTGTTCCGAGCTGTTGGATGATCGGAAATGAGGCTTCACACTGTGGGACACAGAGCAGCAGTTGTGTAATCCAGAGTTTAAAGAACAAGACACAAAACTACCACCAACTACAGTTAATTCGTAGCTGACAAGAAAGGAGGAGGTCAGTAAGTACTGGAACTCTGTCAGAGAAGTTGTTTCCTACGTACATTTGTCAAACAAATTGTTCTTCCTCACCTCCATCTATTCCTTTTGTTCTAGTTTTCTTGCAACCTCCCCTCCTGTCAAGTTTCGCAGCATTTCATATATAACCAGAAAGCAGAACAAAAATCACCTTTTAGTTGCCCAATTTTGAGAGGTCAAATTTATCTGCTTTACCAAAGACATTTTAAGTTACCTTTTAGATGGCTGGATAGAAAAATATCAGTTTAACCAATCTCAGCACTGAGGATTCTCTGTTACGAAGACTCAATCTTCCTTTCCCACAAGGATGTTGCAACAAATGAGGGCAAAGTAAATATAACAGGCTTAAACAAATGTTTAGCTACAGAGAAAAATCCAATATTTAACTATTAACTGTCTGTATGACAAAACAAATCAATTTTAATGAGCCAGGAGAGAAACCCAAAAGCAGCAGCTGGATGAACCTCTCCGAATGAACTCTTCTGCAGTTCAAGAGAAGATGGGCTGAACAAAGATTAATTCATAGTTCACAGCTTCGAGAAGCATTAAGAACCAGTTTCAAGGCCCAGTCAAGTTTTCCATCAGGAAAAGCATAGGGAAAAGGAGGTAAGCTAATTAAATTCTTCCATTTTGTTCAATTAATTCTTAAACTGGAAGATTCTCAAGTCATTATTCAGCCCTCAGATCTCATAATCTTACCCGTCACTGAGAAGGCCACAATCTTGTCTGGGCAGAAGAGCAAAGCAGAAAAGACAAGGAAAGATAAATAAGGGAAAAAAAAAAAAGGAGAGAGAAGGAGAGATGATGTGAGAGAGCAAAGAGAAGGAAAAGCATGAAGTGCAGGCTGCCCAGACAACCGACTGTTGGACCTGATCTCTCTTAGCGCGATACTTGATCATCACTGGGCCAAACCTCGGAGGCTGAGCCTCGCTGTTACCTCAGCAGTTTGCTGTTTGCAAAGGAATCCTGCTGGAGTGCAACGTCTGCTTCCAACCCATGAAGATTTACTGCTGCGAAAACCAGAGCTCTGTACTAGCACCAAAGCTGAGCCAGACTGGCAGGAAAGATAAGACAACCAAGAGCGACCAGCAGAACCTGTACACACTTGACCCTAAAGTTCTAACTTCACAATCACTAAAGTTTTACAAATCAAAGTCTTAACCAGAAAGAGTTTTAAAAGTTTAAGGATTATCCAGATGTGATCTACAAGGCGGCAGTGAACACGTTGGGGTGTTTCAGGATGTTAATATTTGGGTACGTACAATTCTTGCATGTTTTCAGCACTCATACTTCTCAAAGGTTCCATATACATGAGAATTTTACAGGCTTTAAGTTTGGGTACAATTTAAGGTAAAAAAAACCTCCAAAAAAACCAAAACAAACTTTATAAAATAAAGATCTTAGCTGGGAGCTGAGCAGCTGGAACTGAATCAGCGGCTCCATCTTCCAAGTACAGTTATAGTACCAGCCTCACAGCCTGTATTAAAATTCTGCTGAGTCACCCCAGACCAAATTCCAAAGTTCACCTTCTGCCAACAGCCACAAACCTAAACTGCATCACAAAACCACTTACGGTACCGGCAGTTGTCAACCAATTTCTCAAACAGTATAAAAAAGCAATTCCCATGCTACCAGCCCGCACGCTGAACACGGTGAAAGAGCCTGCAAATAAAACAATTTCCACCCACACAAACAGATCACTACTCCGTTGTGTTTACAGAGCACTGCTCCAGCAAATATAAAGCTGTTTCCTCCTCCCTAGTGTTTATATCCGAGTCCTTACAGGACTATATAGTTAGACTATATAGTATAGACTATATAGGATATACAGTTATCAGGAAAGATGGGGATAAAGCAAATAAATGATAGGAACAGACTCAGCATCAAGCGGTTTTAGCATCCAGCAGTCAGGACATGCAACTCTCAGCTGCATAAACTGAATGTCTCTCTGCAAGACTAATCACACAACAGGAAAGGCTTACATTTGTGCTGCAGGAGTTTATAATCTGCGTTATAACAAACATAATTAGAAGCATTACCTTAAGAGGAAGTTATTTATTTGTCTGCAGAAATTCCTCTGAGGCTTTTAAAGGAGTTACCTTTGCTCTGGCCAGCACACACGTCCATTATTTTAGGATCTTAAGCTGCCACCTTGATTTTAATTTTATTTTATAAATGAAGCTGAAGAATGTCATATATATTTGACAAACCAAATGAGTAACCTAGTCCCATCAGAAGGTGCTGCATTTTACAAGTGCAAGGAACACTTCAGGATCTCAACACTGTGAATTCTCAGAGAGCAAACAACTGGCAGAGCTGTCTTACCGATTTCTATGGAATGGGCGACCTATACTCAAAGAAGCAGCATTGGTTTTATACGATCCTGGTGTATTAAAGCCATTCACAAATCCACCGTTAGGAAAGGGGGCCTGCAACAGACAGAACAGTCTCAGTGGCTGAACTACAGAGAAAAACGTTTGCAGTTGTATGAGATGAGCTTCAGCAGTTACTCATCCAGTCTGTTTGGACTTTTACACTCGGCTGCCTGATCTGGTGTGTTGCAAACTTACTACTAAAGCAAAAACCCCGCCAGTTAACAGTCTGCACATCCACTTCAGCATCAAAGTCTTCCTGTTTTGGAAGAGCTACAAAGCTCTTCCTGTAACACTAGCTACTGGATAATGGAATTTCACACCAAAATTTCTTGAAATAAATGGCAGCCAAGTGGCGAGACAAGCAGTCCCTCCAGCACTCTTGCTTTATCAGATCCATGACATAACATGAATTATCACAAAACAGAGGGATCTGACTAGAAAACCTGTGCATTCTACAGCTGAAAAGCTCACTAACCCTATTGATTTGTTAGCCAATAATTATTGGTTAACTATAATAATTATTACTGACTTTTTGGGCTAGCTCCCCTCATTTTCATCAGCTGTTACTCACCAGTGGTGTTTCAAAGTAAGGTGCAGGATTGGGAGACCACGTCTGAGGCACAATGCTGTAAATAGAGTACTGCTGAGGACTATATACAGGCTGCATAAACAGCGGTGAGGCAAACTGTGCTTGTGTTTGAACTGGCTGAGTATAGACACTGGAATCCACTACTCGGTAACCATTCTTAGCAAAAAACGTGTTGATGGCTTTTATCCTTGCCTGCAAGATATCAAATCACATCACATACCTTAGTTGGGAGAAGAGCAGAATTAGATCTGTCGTGCCTACTGGAATTTTAACAGAAGGGATATGAAGAAGTAGGTTGATTACTGCTGACAAATAAAAACTCTGATAAAAATCAATAGAGATTATGTTCTTACAGCGTGCGAAAGGGAAGGACACACACGCTGCTTTAGCTAGAGAATCTGTCAAGTTTAAGATAAACAATGTTTTCTATAGCAGTAACTGTCCAGATTCCAATTCTGACAGCTCCTCTCACAGTACAAACAGTTTGCTTCAGCCTTATTGGTAGAGCAGCTAACACAAGCTAGAGGCTCAGGATGGCAATAGTCCCTCTCCCGAGTTCTGCAGACCCAGATTCTGGGCAAAGTGGAGAAGGGAAGACAAAACAGGAATCTATTTCACACCTCAGGGGAAGCAGCACTGTGAACAACCAGCAGCCACTGAACTGTAATTTTTCATAGCTATCCGTGACCTCATTCCAGTTAACAGAGCAAGTGTTGCCAACTATCCCACTGCTAATTCCGTAGTCCCCCCCCACCATAAACACACACCATCATTCACATAGAAACAACATGTAATTCAATTCAAACAGAAACCTCCTATAAAGCAGCCTTACCATGACTGGCTTGCCTTGAAAGGTTTTAACTTCTTCCCTTAAGTATTTAAATGCCTGCACATACAAAAAAAGATTAATGTTAAAATATCTTGATAAAAATTGTACTTCTCAAAGGATTTTACATGATTTAACATCAATGTGTAGCCATGTGCTTCCCTGGTAGCTCAACTAAATTCATTAACAATTCAAATTCAGGATACTAGTTGCCAGTTATGGCTGGAGAGTCCTGAGGCAAGAGGCAAACAAAGGAATTCTAAACCTACAATCTCTCAGTTTGTTTCTCTATTAACTAGAATTTGCCAATAATCTCTTAAAATAACAAAAGGGGGATCAGTAAACAAACATTTCTTTCAGCTACAGGAAGCATGCGTGGAGTTCTCTTGAGCAGGGGAAGCATTAATAAGAAAACTGAGACATCATTAACTGCAGTTGGAGGCAGCCTTACCTGTTGCGCATCCGTATCCGACTGGAATGTCACGTACCAGTTGTTGTTGTGAGCAAACTCACAGCTTATCACTTTGGGGCAGTTTTCGTTTTTAAACAGAGCCTTAACCTCCTAGGGGAGAGGAGAAGTCAGGCAGTTAGAGGGATCTAGCTCTAAGCTGTAAAGTGAACACTAAACCAACAAAAACTGACGCTTCAGCTCCTCAGCTGCCTTTTTCCCTTGACCAGGGATGGTTTTTTATTCCCTCAGCAGGTCTGCCAGACACCAAATTATCCTCTACCTGTTTCTGAACCCAAAAATACTAGCCCAGCCTACTGAGCTTCCATAATAAAAAGTAGCAGGCCCATCTGGTAAGCAAATCAAGATCAGTGTAGAACTGGTGATATTTCTACGTAAAAGAGGAAGCAAAAACATGGCTTTAGATCAGGAGAGTCACCTAGACAAGACTGATTCTAAGAAATATTTCTAAATCAAGGAAACCTGACAGCTTTGCAATAATCAGATTTCAAAGACAGGGCAAAGCAGCTGTTCAGAGTTTGCATTAAAAGAACTAATTAAAAATGCTAGTAGACAAACAGCCTGTGTTACAACTTTAAAAAACAAAGAACTAAATCATTCTGTTAGTCAAATATCAGTAGGAATTTTATTATCCTCCCTTCTCTGAACATAATGAGCTCAGCTCACACTGGGTCACAATGAATGAGAAATGTTTAGTGACATTTCTTGCTGCCAAAACAACCATCCGACTTCAAGTAAAGTTACTGCTGTGACAAAAATTCAGCCTGAATTCCAAGCTATGCCCTGGATTGATTTTATTTTTGGATCTGAAAAGAGACCAGTTCAAACTTCCTTCCAGAAAAGCCTAGCCAGCTCAATTTTTGGTGGGGAAAAAGTTTATTTATGAACATGTTAATATATTAGTAAATAATGGGAAGGGACAATAATACCAACAAGTTTTTGTTTTGGCTTTTTTGACAATACATCCAGGCAGAAAAAATTACTTATGTGGTTTACACAAAAAATATTCATGTTTAATCAGATTAAATACCAGCTGACCTTTTTAAGCAACACTTCCTATTGCTGGCTGAAGCACTGTTGAAGATACCTTCCAAAAAACTTCAACAGGCTTTTATTTCTTTCTTTTCTATTTATTTACCTCTATAGGTGTTGTTTCGGGGATCTCACGGAGAATGATAATACATCGTTTGTGGTTTGGTCTAACTTTCTCCCCTCTCTCATCCACTTGTACCATAGGAGAAGCTAAAATTAAAATATAAAAGTTGACTTAATATTGGACATTGTGGGTTGCAGAATGTCTCAGCAGTACCAGACTCCATTATTCAGCTTGTAATAAAGAACTGTGAGGGACTGCTTAGGAAACCAGGTTTGTGCCATTCAGGGTAAAGGACTGTTTATCAGCTACAGTCTTTTAGATCTTCAGTACATTTTTGTCTGATGTTGCCTCCATCTACAGCTCAGGTATCTAAAAAGCTCAGTCCCAAATTCAATTCTCCCCGAGCTCAAATTCAAGTAAGGGGATACAAAACCATTCCTAGATGGAGCCCTAACGGGAATGGTTCAAATAAGAGGAAAGAAATCAAGTCAGAATAAAGACTGAATAAAGAATAAAGTTCATTTACAACTGTTTCCACAAAAAGCCACATGCAGAATCAGCACAGGCCAGCACGTCAGGAGAATTCTGGTTAACTTTTTCTAGTAAGATTTTTCTAGTTTTATCATTTCTAGTCAACTTTTGCACTAAATCAGAAGACAAGTTTTACTCCTGGAGTAAGACACTCACTGGTACCAGTATCTTAGAGTGACCCCTTAACTGGGGTAGATTTAGGCAGTTTATTATAAAGCAGAACTAGAATTCAGGAGTCTGGAACAGCCACTTATTCAAACATCTCTGCAGAACGAGTTTCCTGTCACCATTTACTGGAACAATGTGCCATAACCAGCTGAGATATTAAAACATTTCTCTAGAGCAAGGATGGATTCTTTGCTGTTCTACTAATATAGACAGGAACACCCAGACTTACATCTCAAAACTTCAAGAATAAGGTCCATATCAGTTGTCAGTTTCTTAATACCTTCCATGTTGGCAATTGTCCATATTGGAACAAACTGATCACTATCCATTTGAGACATCAAGTAGAGATCCTTTGAAAGATTCTCACTAAAAAGACATAAATTCACTATTTTATAAAAATCCTGAACTTTATTTACAGAAACCTCAAAACATCAGGATAACTGCAGGCTTAAAAATCCACCAATACCATTCACAGCTAACTTTAACCAAAACGTACTCAGATTTTCTCTGATGGAAAAATTCCTAGCAGATCAAAATAAAGCAGAATAAGATCATTAAAATAAAAACTTAATGAAAGTTACAGTGCTCTGCATGTTCACCTGCAAAAAGGATCTTGCCAAAGAGACTTCTTCTGGTAATACACAGCTAAGTGGCCTCTGACAATTGTGAAGCACAAAGTCATACTCAGTTCTCATTCAAGGACAAGGATCTATGGATGGGACTGAAACAGCTGAAAGGTACCACAGGGTTTCTACAGCACTTTAGCAAATCTTGTTTCATATCACAATCAATTCTCTCACAGTTAAGATTTTTATGAAGATGACAACACATATCAAGCCAAAAAAGGGAAAAAAATTGTCAACAATTTTAATAAAGGGTTTATACAAAGTCAAATTAACTGAGCCGTACCGTGAAAAGCAGAATTCAAGCTGTTTTTTCAAACATTCTCTAATGTCTTCTGTGGACACAGTGGAGCTGCCTTCACCTAAAAGTTACCACATGCACCATCAGATCTCAGTTTCACAGGAAGAATACGACACAAGAAAATGTTTTATTGTACAATAGCAGAATTAATCCTTCTGGACAAGGACAAGTTCACGAGACGCGTTTGAAGACCACCACACCACACATCCTCAAAACAACTTAGATCCCACGGTTTTCATCTCCTTGGCCAAGTGCTGTGGCTGGTTTGGATCTTCTTGAATATTCCCATCGATTGGGAACATTTCAAAGTTCCTACTCAGGATTTACAAGTCACATCATCCCCGCAGCAGACTTCAGAGGATGATAGATACTCACAGTGGTATTTTAACTTGAATACTCACCAGACACTTCATAGATTTGGTATCCAAGATCTTCAGTTGCTAGGACAATCCCGTTTGCAGACGCTTCATCAACTCCTGTGCCATTTCTTGTAGCTTCACAAGACGGGGAATACATCACTTCATATTGCTTGCAGCTATCCTCTGAAATCTCTATGTTACCTGGCAAAATTAACACATCATCAACAGAAAACCTACTAAAAGCTTCACAGTATTTTCCATTTGCATAATTTTGGCTACCGACATTAAAACAAATACTCAGGAATGCTGTAACTGAAAGCATCTAGACTTTGTCTGGATTTCCTACACTACCAGCATCTACTTTGCACTGGATAGCACTTTGTACCTCTCCAGTTTCTAGAAGATTTTCTGGTTTGCACTAGAGTCTCAGGGATAAGTAAATAATACGATTGTGAAATTGTAAGACCCCCAAAAAGTAGCAGAAGATCTAAAAAAAACCAGGCTTCCACCTGGAATTTAGAATACTTAAAAAAAGTTCCTAAAAACAAAGTACTTAAATAGCTTACATCACTTCAATGCATTACGTGATTCCTTTTTATAAAGGACTCAGGAGCATGTAGTGATTGTTACAAAACACAGGGAAATTACACTGAAATTGGCCAATCTCTTGTTCAAGACACCTCAGCTTCACCACAGCTGCTTGAGACAGAAACAAACACAATTCCACTTTAATCCAACAGTCAGGTAAAGGAGATTGTTCCAAACAAATCAACTGCTCTGCCAGATCTTTTTCACACTAATGATGAGTCCTCTTTGAGAAGAGATACGATCCAACTACTTACATTAGAAATGGCTTAAAAGCAAGAACACATTTGGAAAAATTGCCTTTAATTTTCCAGCAGCATAACACTGCCACGATTGCTTCACTTTGCTAGGAAGAGACAAACGAGTTTCTCCTCAGCCAATGCACAAACTCAGTACTCTCCCTTCACTTCTGCTGACTCACCAGAAACTTTTGACAGGGACACACAAACTGAACCCTCCCTTCTTTATCACAAACTTTTCTTAAACCTTTTTCCAGGGAAATCTTTTGCTTCCTGCTTAACAAGTCTCTGCCACGTTTTGAGTAACCTCAGCTATACATCTGGCTTCATTATCAACTCTAAGCCAAATGAGAAGAGTTAAACCATTTGAATATTGAGTTCTGGACAACAGGATTGATCATGGGGTAAGGATGGAAAATGGGGACTGAAATGGAATACAGACTAAACCCAAAGGAGCTAACTGCAGATGCTTTGCAGTTTCTACTCCTGCCTAACAGTTCTCAGCAGCACCTCAGCACCTACCAGGATTATGGGTGGCCCTCAGATCTTATCTTCCTGTTCACAGGGTGTACACTAAAGCGCAGCAATGGTGAATGAGACGAGTCATAAATCCATTTCTACACATTTAGCAACATCTCCCTCTTAGCGCGTTACTCAGTCATCACCGGGCCCCCTGGATCCTGTGACCTGATGAAGTTTTCTGCTCTAGCACAGCTCAGGACACATCACCTTGAATCCCTAAACCAAAGCTCACTGGTCAGACCACATCATCTTGAATCCCTAAACCAAAGCTCAGGGCTCAGACCTAGAATTTCTATAAATTGTTCTACTGTTTTCTCACTTTCATTTCATTTCTGTTGCTCCATCAGCACTAACAACCTCCAGGACAAGAGCAAGAGGTTGCTTCTCACTGCTGAGAGAACCCTCAGCGTTACCTAACGAGGGACATCTCATGGGTGGTGTTTGAACAAGGGCCCGCGACATCTCACCCTCGGTGTGAGTCCCTTGTGCAGCCGCTGTCTCTTGCCACGAGTGCTCTGCGCCATTTGTTGGTGGCACGGCCTCACCGCTCCCTTGGGGCACTTCTTGCCACACTTTTGCGTTAGGGTTTAAGCCAGCACCTTTCGATGTTACCTGCTGAAGAGACCAGAACACTTTTATTAGGAAAAATAATCCAAAACTGCTTTAGAAGCCAAGCCAGACGATACAGGGGAATTTGGTGATTTTCTAGAGAGTTCCATTTCTCGAGTGTCTAACCAGCTATTAAGCACCTATGTGATTTTTTCATTAATCAAATCAGGAAAATCCTTGGTGTTTTCCAAGTATTTCATTTCTACCTCCATTAGAAGTGTTGCTTTCAACCTCTCTTTATTGACATCCGACAACATCAGCAGAGGAAGCGGCTAGCCGTCAAAGACTCTGGTAATTCACAAGCTCTTAAAGACTTGACTGTCATAATGCTACAGTCCCCTTTCACCAGAAAGGCAAATTTTCCCTCCTCCAGACCCCTTCCTAGAAAGGAAAGTAAAAAACCCAACATATTTCAAGGAGAAGAAACTAATGACTTACTGAATTAGTGACATCGATACCAACCAAGCATCACCTACGCTGTGCCAGGATTCCTCATGAACTCACCCGAGCACTATCTGATTTCCCCACGAGGATACATCTTACACACATCAATGTATGCTAATGATTTCCTTCAACTTATAACCCAGGAGATTAAAGTTTCTGAAGTGCCAAGACAAACATACACACCATCACAGCCTGCTGGGAGTGGGGCAGAACAGGATTGTCTCCCTTTGAGACTGTGCAACAAGGACCATAATTAGGGTAAGAGGGTAAACGATGAGACGGGGAAGAGAAACTGCTGGATTCCAACCTGGAGCCTGACAGAGAGAAACATTTCTACAGCAAAAGATGGTGCCCTCACAGGTCCCTTTCTGAGAGCTGCTCAGAAGCTCAAAGATATTTGGGTGAGGTGTCCAATAATCCAGCAACAGCACAGAGGATCAGCATTGTAATGGCTTTTGCTCTCCCATAATAAAACTCCGTCCACATAGAAAAGAAAATGATGCTTTTGCAAAAATTCTCCTCCCAAGAACTCCCAACACCCGACAAGCAACTAATACAGTTTCCTCTAAACAAGTTCCTTCAGACTTTGGATGACAGTCCACTTCTCCCACGCCATTTGCTTGAATTTAGAAGGTGAAAGCCATCAGCCCTACCTCATACCTTACAAATTCACAAAGAAGGAAGTTTGATACTTCAGAGACCAGCCTCCTGGATCCTGAAATTAAGGAGTGGCTTACTACCAGGCCTCAAACATAAAGCAAAAGGATAAGGAAGCAGTTGCAATAGCTTTAGAGATAATTCCTCTGCCAAGGTCACACCTAGTTCCAAAGCTATTTGCTACAAGGACAAGCCCAAATTCAGCAACAAAAAGCCTCCAAACACTGGAGAGGTTCAAGACAATCATGAGAGAAGGCAAAACAAAGATGACAATTCTTGCAAGGCCTTCTTTGGGATTTCAAATTCCACAGGAACAACTGATTTAATCCACACAGCAACGGAGTTTCCCCCCTTCTGTTAATCTTAGCAGAAGAACACAGCTGGAAACAGAAAGAAGAACCAGAAGTAGGTCCGTGTGAAAGGACACACGTGCATTTCCCTCCTTCGTCTGCAGAGCAGTTGTTCTCTCACGACACAACCTCAGAGGAAAAACCCAGTAACCTGTTGCACCCACATATTCTCGCTGTCAATGTAGTTCAGCAAGTTCAAAACTTAACTCTGCTCAATTGCTGGTCACTCCTGTGACACTGTGGAGCTGTCAGCGTGGGCACCTGCTCAAGAACTGAAACCCCACAGATCCCATTTCTTTGAATTTACTTTTCATCAAAGAAAAAAATCAACCAACAACCAAGACACATCCAGATGATTCATTATTTATACAAATAAACACTGCCTCACTACTTTACGTCTTTGAGGTTAAGCATTTAGCTCAATCTGAAAGTAATTTTAAGGAATAAGTATGATAAAGTAAAACTGAAACACTTCAGGGAGATTTCTACGCTTCTGGAGGTGAAGAGAAGTAAAAAGCAGCTCTGAGCGTGGCAGGTGATGTTACTCACTTTAGCAAACACCAAAAGACACACGTGGCAACGTGCAAGTTCAGAAATCAGAGGGTCAAGTGAAAAGCACCAAGAAACTAAATGGATTCAGGCTGATGAAGTGATGAATGAACCTATTAATAAACCAGCTGAAATATAAACCCCAATAGAGTGTGGGCTACTTCCTCTTTTTTCTAGAGACACTTAATGACGTGTAATGCAATTCTGCAAGACCCAGCCCTGATGTCACATATCTCAACAGCAAGACACCACTTGAGAGGACTCAGAGAGGATAAGAAATCCCTCATTTCCATCAGCTTTTTGAAAACACAGTCTGCTGTGCTCCAGGAACAGCACTGCCCCGAGCCGGCGAGCGGCTCTTCTGAAGAGAAGAGCCAAAATATCAATTCTTGCTTATTTAACTGAAGCTAACAAATACTGAGCCCGTTTGATTGGCTGCAGAACAATCCTCCCAGCTGCTATCGGGAACTTTCATGATGAAGTTAAAGCTTTACAGAGTTACAAAGGTTAGGAACACTCGCTGGTATCCACGAGCTGACAAAGCTGTCCTTCTCAGCAGAGCCTCCCTCTAGTTTATGTTACTTTCAGTAAACGTGGATCAAAGATTCTCCTCCAGCAATTCCTCAAAATTGACTACTGAAGCATCTATCTCATTTTGAAAGGATGGCAAAGAATATTTTTCTTGTTGTAAAGTTCTAAATTATATTTAACAGACTCAATTAAGCCAACAAAAATGAAAGTACTCAGAGTTTCTTTTAAAGTATTCTATTTTAATAATAATTCAAATTATCCTGCAACCAAAATCTGAACACCGAGCTTGTCACAAATTTCCCAGAGCAGAGCGACTCTCTAAAAGGAAATTTCAGTGAAAAACCTAGAAGATAATTGAATAAAACTTGTGAGGTGAGAATCTAAACATTTTCCAGAAGTGGAAATATAAGTATAGGGGGAAAAAAAACCTGAAGGTCAGCAAACCTAGGAGAGGTTGTGCTGGCTGGGGGATGTGACAGGGAAGGGAAATGTGCACCTGCAGTGGACTCAGACACGTGCCAGTGTAGTTACCTGTCACCTTCTCAAAGCTTATCCAGGCTGTGAAGCAAACTAAAAAAAGAGAGAAAGCTGGTGTCAAAGCAAAAGCAAGAGGCAGAACTCCTCGGGAACTGACCGCAGGATATCACGTAACAGCGGTGCAGCGCTCGGAACGTCCCAGGTAATTCTCAAAACACACATTAACTTTAATGGTCACAGGAGAGTTACACTTCTACTGAGCACAGCATGTGTTTTTCATTAGCCAGGAGGAGCACCCCAGAACTAGGGGGGGTCCCTCCTTCATCCCTCGGTAAAACAAATGCACAGCTCCACCGTATGGAAACGGTACCAGCCTGGTACCACCAGTGTGGATGGTGTCCCCCACTGCTGTGTGAAGAGGGACAATGTGGTTGGGTTTCCCATCTAGAGGGGAGCAGGAAGCCTCACCTGCTGAAAGAGAGAGCCAGCAATACTCAGTGCTTCGTACAGTCCTGGTTTTCTAGCTGGGAAACATCGCTGGCAACAATTAGGGCAGCGTTTCACCCACCTGAAATGCACAGATTTCAATTTTCCCAATAAACTACTAATATATTGAATTAGAAACACGTACCCAACTGACCAAAAACCCAAAGCAGGCACAGCAAGCCAGTATCAATTACATTTCTCACAATGCATTTAATAATATTCCCACTGCACCTTAATTATTGATTGTTAACAGCATCCTGGTCCTGGCTGCAACTGAAAAACAAGAACGACACCAAACAATAACGCATGAAAAATAGCACGAGCCTTACACCATTCCCTCACTGCAGCAAGGGGTTTTTTGAGATAAAAGATAGGGGAGGAAAACAGAATTCCAGTGTGCACACTGAGAATGAAGCAATTCCCCATCAGCACGTGCACACTTCAGTTCAGTCTAAAATATAACGCAGACAGCTAAAGCAAGTCAGCTCCTCCTCCCGACAGCTTCAGGACTCCTCACACAATCTGGTTGTCTACCTTCCTTTACAGGCAACCCAAAAGATCCCGAGATAAAAGCTGCTGTCTGCTTTCAAGCATCTGACCACAGCGTTTCAGGAACACCTGGTCAAGAGCTCAAGTTCCCTGTCCTGGCAGTGAAAAGGCACCTTTAGAAAGTCTGGATTGTCTTCAGGAACTCAAAATTAAACATTATTGATGCTTTCTAAATGAAAAGCACAGAAACTAACTTGCAACACTGTCGGTGGAAGAGAAAGGAGGAGATCAAACAAAGCTGCTGGCAAGTTTGTGCTTCAAAAGGATTCACTAAAGACCCAGAGGCACTGCCCGGCTTCACAGGCTCCTGGTTTGCTCCAGCTCCCTTTGAGCCCTGTCCCCAACACAACGGGGCCATGTCCCCACTGTGGGTTCCAAAACCTGCCTCCCTCACTGCTCCCCTCGCTCTCACAGGCTCAGCTCCTCTGGCCACGCTCGGCCTTGGATGAGGTTGGCCGCTCACAGCTCCAGACTGCAATCACCAGGCTGCAGCTCCCATTAGCTTGAGCAGCTCCTCTTCAATCAAATACTGTAACACCAAATTCTGAAAGACCTGTCATTCCGTGTTCATGGCTTTTTTTTTTTTTCCTCTCAGCACAAGTCAAGTAACATTCAGTTCAGAACTAAAGCGATTAGTTTAAGAAAGAGAAGCTGTTGGCCAAACCTTTTTATTTAGAGGTTCTTAACTGCAGGATATATGTTGGTATTCACGGACAGGACCGTCACCACCACGCTTGGACTGAAGACACCGTCAGCAATCGACTGGCTTCCCTCGATTATTTAACTAACCTGGGAGCTGTTTGCTTTGGATAATTTTTGGACAAAACTTAATGTAAAGTTTAAAGAAGCTGCACAGTTGCCCGAGTTTGTCTGGCAAATGCTGGAACTGTTCCACCGAATCCCGTGAAACGCTGTAAATAAGCAAAGTACCAGGACGGACAGTGGCTGCGGACCCAGACCCGAGCCATCCCGCTGCCCACCGCCCGCCCCCGGGCGCGGGGAGGGACACACC